CTATTTGTAAATAAAATGAATCAAAAGTAAGACTGTTGATGCGATTTTCGGCTCGAAAGGCCCGATAAGCCATATGGCACAGAGGTGGCAACTTTTCTTGACACACTGGCAGCAGTCATTACACATGGCATGACAATAAACCAATGGGATTAGTTTTAAATTTTTTCCTATTTTTTATATTGTTATGCTTTCTTTTGTTATATAAATTATTATTATATATATATATATAAAAATTAATATAAATATATTATTAAGCCAATCTAAGACAACATTATGAATATATATAATTATTTATTATAACTATTTATAAAAATTTTAATTATGAATAAGAATATAATATACATCAAAATAAAATTAGAAAATATTTTTAATTACTTTTGATTTTGTGATGTGTTATTTTTTAAGATGTATTCTTTTAGCTTCTTTTTAATATTAAATTATTATAAAAATTATTCATCAGATAATTATATTTAATATTTTTTTACTCATGACATAATTGTTTTTTATAATTTTGTTATTATTTAATAAAAAAATATAGTAGAAAAGTGTTAACTATAATTATGCCATGAATAAAACTATTTTTGTAATTTTATTATAATTTATTTTTACAGTTAATTTAGTTTTAGTAATATTTTTTTTATTAAATAATTATAAAGTACAAAAATTAATTTGTCATGAATAAAAACGTTAGCTATAATTATTTCATGAATAAAACTATTTTTGTAATTTTATAAATTATACCGTATATGTCTTTTTCATTCCGTCGAAAATTGATTTTACGGTATAGACGCATATGACCTCCCCCTCCAATTGGGTGGCTCTCCATCTGACCTGCCACTTGTAAGTTGAATATAACTATTTTTGTAATTTTATAATAATTTAATTTCATAGTTAATCTTTTTAATAATTACTGTATTTTTTATTAAATAATTATAAATTTAAATAAATTATGTCATGAATAAAAATGTTAGTTATAATTGTCTCATGAATAAAATTATTTCTGTAATTTTAATTATACCAAAAATGTCTTTTTCATTCTGCCGAAAATTGATTTTACGGTATAGACGCTTATGACCTCCTCCAATTGGGTGGCCCTCGACGTTTTTTTTTTCTAAATCTGAATCCAAAACAAACAAAAGAAGAGTTGCAACTTTTTATCATAATCCAACATTAAAAGAAAAAAAAAAGTAAAAGAAACGAAAGTTTTCATTAGCATAAATTCCGCAATAATAGATATTGGACTACATTAAGAGCACGTTTGTTTAGGGAGACCGAATTAGATAATTTTTATCTTGGTATCCAAGATTGGGGTGTAGAGATAATTTTATATTCACGTTTGTTATGTTTGATTACTCAAGATAAGATTATCTTCATAATATGTTTTATGTGTTTGTTTCCATGGACAAATAATAGGATTAGATGCTCATTTACAAAATGCCCCATTGTTCACATACATTATTTTCTTTTTCTTCATGTTTTACTGGAATGAAAATAACCAATCAATCTCATTATTTCATTTTCCATACTTAAGTTGTACACAGATATTTGGGTCAAAATTATCTACATAAAAACACCTCCTTCACTCTTTTCCCTCACATTATGTAGCTTCATTTTTTTCATGTGAAATGAAAATTAACAATAACAAATCAAAACCTCATTCAATCCACAATAAAATTTTGATGCTCCATGACGGCAAAATCAAATTCGAAGCAATAGCTCATCCACAACCAAATTTGAAGAACAAATCCAAGTTATACTTGACCATATGAAAGTGGAAAGGCGGAATGGGTTTTGGGGTTTCTGAAACAAAGCAAACCAGAAGAACAAATCCGCTGCGGGGGCGGCATTCTCTGATTATTT